AAAAAAAAAAAAAAAACAAATACAAAAAGTTGGTCTTAGGGCGAACCTGACGGTTACCCAGTATCGCGTTTCAATTTAAAAAACTTACAAACTTCTCGGCGATATCTGCTACGATTCTTGCTATACCCACCACCGTAGGAAGAACTTGAAAGAAAATATTAAATTCGATAAGTACTTTATCCACAAATTTTTTAATTAAATTCCAGCAAAGGATGAAGACTTGCGTAGTTATTAGGTATAATAATAGCTCATTAAAAAAGCGCTTACTTCAAGCAATCGTCCAAAAATATTCAAATTATTATCTAACCACCAATAGCTACACACTTTTCCCACAATTGTGGCAGGTGTGTGTGAGTAACATGGTAAAAGGTCTTTTGACATTATCGACGTAAAGACTCCTTTACTGTACTTAAAGCTGCTCATGCAGCGAGCAAGACAAATTTGTTAAGGATTACGCAGGAAGAGAAATGTCTAAGGAATGTTGCAAGGATGATAGCAAATCGCAATGTAATATCCCTAAAGTTTCCCAGACGGACATTCCGACAGGACGTCGAATGTTGACGCTTCGAAAAATCTAATATTCTCATAACGTAGCGGTTTTTCTTTTAATGATGTAAACATTAGCTTGGAGAAGCGACAGTTTCAAAAATTCTCTCAGATAAGGTAGCGCCATCTGGTGCAAAAACCGCTAACAATTTCTTCATATGTGTGGCATTTAAAAATCAATTAGTTTAGGACGATCCTTGATTAAATCGATTGTTAAAATTCGTATGTTCGTTTAAACCTAAGCAAGTAACCTTTAACTAAACAACTCAATCAGTTCCCTTTACCCTTTAATCAAGCTTATGTTTCTCGCTTTTCAAAGTTGCAATGATTTAAATTAATATGATTTAGTCGATCAAAAACTCGAGCTGATCGGAGTTGTAACGTATATATATATAGAGATGTGAGATTCTCTGTGGGTATGTTTTGTAATTTTGTTTGCTACAAATAGAGGGATAAACTAATATTTCCTTTTATAGAAAGTTAACAGAAGACGCACTCTTTGCTTTACATCCATTTATCCATGATTTTTACCGGTCAAATAGAAGAGAACAAGAAAAAAAAAATAAAGAAAAAAAAAGTTGAGTAATAGCTTTCTAACTCTATAAAGCAGCCAATTCATCCCACTATAAACTATTTTTGAGAAATGTATTTAAACGTAAGACACATCTGTGAAAAGCCTTCGAAACTCTTATATAATTCATTGTTGTAATATGTGATCATAGTTTATTTAATCAAATATAGTTTAGTTTCTTAAATATAAGTTTAAGTGCAAAAGATATCAGGTTCAAATAACATTCCGGCACGTCAAAGAACTGTTAAGTAAACAGAATGTAGGAGGTAGGGGTGGCCAACACATCAACAGATTAAAGTAGCCTTTATTCGGACGCAATTTGAAAATAGTTTTTGATCGTTCAAAAAACGCTTTATAAGACCTCGGAAAACTCCCTTCTCTCAAGTACCTCCGGGACCGCTTTGCGAAGTGGATTTTCGTCGCCTGAGAATTTCCGAACGATGACGAAGCGGTGCGATGAGTATAAACTTATTTTGGCTTACGGCTGATGATATTATTGATTAAACACAAACATTTGTGATCAAGAGTGAAGTGACTTTTCGTCGACCAAAGCCGGGTCACAATATTTAATTGCAGTATATTTTCATCGACTTTGTTATTGCTTATGTGTGTCATGTATTCGACCGTGAAGTGGTTTTGGGTCATAGTAAAACAATTTATGGAATGTTTGGTCAGAGTAGCACGGTGACTCTCACAAAAGAGAGAGACAAGAGAAAGAGATATACGTGTGAGCTGAATTGACTGAGCGCGTATTGTAGCTACGTCCGAAGAAAACTCTACCGCACTTGAGATTTTAAACCGTGAACACTGTCTTGGTAGTCGCAGTTTTTACCTACACTCGTACACTCAGGGGAAAATATGGTTTAGGTTTATTTGTCAACCGATATTTGAGTTTAGTACTTTAATATGAAGCGTTTTGCGATCGAAAGCGAAGCACATTGAAGCGAACAAAGATTTTATTTGATCGCAATGCAATCTGACCGATTGCAAAGCACTTATTAATTATCCGGTCTATTAGTCGAAAACGACGAATGGGAGCGTATTTGATTTGTGATATGACCTTGAAGAGTGGAGTTGAGACGTGAATAATGAAAAATATCACCAATATAAACACTATACTATTGACCACCCCTGCCAAAAAGAAAAAAAAGTAAAAAGAAAATCTACTTATCTCCTACATTCATGTGAAATTCAAAAAAAAGCCGTTCAGCTTTGTGAAGGGTTAAGTGCATCAATGTCACTTTGTTTAATGAAAAACTCTATCTCATCTTTTGTTTTTATGTGTGTGAAACTTATATATAAAAAAAAAAAAAAAAAAACTTGACATTTTTATTAAGTACATAAAACAAAATAGAAAAACAGAAAAAGAAGTAAAAGAAGAAAAAGAAGAAGAAAAGATAATAAGTGATATGATAAGTATTTTGTAAATGTTTAATTCTTCTTGTGTAAATTTTTAAGCCTAATTAAAATGAAATGTATTTTTTTATGTAAATGATATCATTAATTAAAATTCTCTTAATTACTTTTAAGCAATAGAACACAATTTCCCATCATATATAGACATTAATTGATGTACATGGATATGTATAATAATTTCGTTTTAACATAAGTTGCAAAATGCTAAAAATGAAAAACTGTTTTAATTAAAAGGATAAAACAAAACAACTAATTAATAACATAAATAAATAAATAAATAAATGAATAAATAATTTATAAACAAAAAAAAAAAAAAAAAAAAAGCCTAAATCAACCTGTCTTATTTTTTAATTATTTTGTGTAAACTTTAAAACGGCAAAAAAAAAAAAAAAAAAACAAAACAAATTAACAAAACACAAATATATATAAATAAATTATTAAATCAACAAATTCTAAATTTTTTTTTTTTTTGTTCCTTTTTATTTCGTTTACCTAACTAAGCAATATATTTATAAACGTATTCTTCTTTCTCTTTCTCTTTTTTTTTTTTTTTTTTTTTTTTGCTTTTGTAAACATAAAATTATCATATTTGATATGTGCGCGTCCGTGTGAAATCCATTGAAAAAAAAAAAATCTCTTTTTAATAAATAGTGTACAAAAGTGCATGGAAAAAATGAATCATTTTTTACTAAAAGCTTTTTGCTAATGGCCACTACCTACGTAGGTAAGCTACATGTAACGTGATACGAAAAAAGTTCACATGTATATTTTCATAAAAAGCGAACAATTTGAAAACAAAAAAGAAATATGTAAAGGAATTAAAATTTTTTATTTTTTTTTATTTTATATTTACATGAAATACTTACTTTAAGTCTTTTCATGCAGCAAAAAGCGAACAACACTTTCGATCCCAGTATAGAAGTAAACAAACAAGTAAAGAAAATAGAAATGAAGGACACAGTGATGTTTTTTTTCCAAATATTCTTCTTCTTCATTAAACATTTGAGCACATTGAATGTAAGTTCTGGATATACCAGATATCATTTTATTTTAAATTATCTTTTATTTTTATTATTTTAGTTTTGAATGCACCTTCACACAGAATGCTATCGCAAAACAAGTCATATTCGCAGTATTCGGTTAAAGTTGAAACGTATCTGACATTTCACACCGATCTAGAAAATGTAAAACTAACAAGTAAGTAAGTTATGTTTACCTTCAACCAAATCTCGACGATAAACGCATTAAAAAGCAATGATTTCTCAATAATTGGGACACTGTCAGTGGGTACATCGTGATGGGCGAAACTTTTCTTGGTTCGAGAGAAAGCTCTTTGCCAAATTTTTAAATTGGAAGCTGGCATAAGCCATAAGTTATTCCAGAAAATGAAAGCATTTCCATCTTTGAGGCGCTGTGTACTTGCCATTGCCTTATATAACTCACTTTTAAATTCTTTTATTTTATTGAAAAGAATTTGTATTTTTTTTTTAACTAATTTGTCCAAATTTGAACTTTTCATTTCTTTTCCATTCTTCTAAACTTGAAAGTGCTCGCAACTGATTGACGGAAGTACGAGAAGTCATCGCTAAGCAGGAATGTCGTGTAATATGATTATGATCAGCATTCTGTGTCCATTTATTGTAAATGGAAGCAGTTAAGTTAATCTACTCACAATGTTTTAGTTATGGCGAAAGTATTTGATCGTGTATCTTATTCATATTATTATTTATCATTTTTTGTTTTAAGTTTGCATGGTTTCAGTCGCTTCTTTTGATGTTATGATAGAATGCAAAAAAAAAAAAGTCTGGCACTTTATCTTAATACACAAGTAGTTTACACACTATTTGTTTTTCTTATTGGTTTAATTATTTGTCTTTTGAAATTATTTATTGAAGGTATTTGGTCTATCCGGGTACTTTTGTGGCTTTACTCATGGACTGTTGAACTCTTCAGTAACATGGGAAAATGATCTAAATGTTTTATTAGAATTCCCTTTCGACCAAGGCGTCTATTTACCATCATTACAAGGCCCTTCGATGAAAATAAAAACTTGTGGTCAAACAGTGGTTTTATGGGCAATTTAGTCTTTAGGCAGTCTATTTACTGGTGTTCATGCCCAGCGCAATTTAATATCATTTTGAAGTTTTATCAACTAACGATAATCATATAATACATAAAAGTAGATAACTTTTCTTGTACTTAGAACTTGAAGACGATGAGGAAGAGGTGTGTACTTGCGTAATTCTCCTTAGGCCCGAGTTGGGAAAGATTTGGGAACCTTTTATTTTTTATTCACCATATACTTCAGTTTTTGCTCAATCTCTACCGGTCAGTTTACAGATTGTTTTAGTGAAGCAGGCACCCAACCACCCTTTTTTGCCTTCTTTCTTATTTTTTTTTAAAACCGACATCAGACATTGGCATTAGAATGATATTTTCCTTTTTCATTCGCCTTGCAATATTCTCATTTTCTCTTTTTGATAGACTGTTTTTGATTGGATTAGAAATCTTGCAGGTTTGCGATGACTTTCATTTATTGCTAGCCATTCTAGGACATCGGAGCTCTTTGTGATTAGTTTCAAGCATGTTTTTAAATCAAAGTGGAAAAATTAAACAAAGAGTATTGCATTGCCTGGCAGTCGTTCGATTATTGAAAAGGAAATTGAATGATGTGTACATGCGTGACCTTAATAAAAACAACATAAAAGCAAAAATTATTGCCAATTCTTCTGCAAAGCTCTAGAAGACGAAAGTTTTTGATAAGAGAACCTCTCATGAAAACTTGATACCAATTAAAAATTTCTTTAGGCAAACTTTCCTTCTGAGTGCTCTTTACGGTTTCCCTTAAATGAAAACCATATGCATTAAATAATTTTCTAGTAGTAAAGGTTGCCTCAATTTATTTCATTCATATTCCTATTGTATGCATATGATGTGTATATGAATTAACAAAAAAAAAAACCAAAAAACAAAAAACAATAAACCAAAAAAAAAAAAGAGTTTTTTGAATAATGTTTATTTGTTGATTGTAAACCAATAGCTTGGTTGAGAGCACAAAATAAAAAATTTGCATAAGTGACATGATGATGACGGCAAAAATCCAGGAATACATGTTTTATGCAGAGTTGATGTTAGTAGTCACTGTTTTTAAGCGTTTATATAACAACAAATCAGAAAATATGTAAATAATATTTTTTCGTATTTCGTATATATTTATTTGTTTTTTTTTTTCTTTTGTAATAAAAATATTTAGAAAGTAATAAATTTTTATAGAGAGAGAGAGAGAGAGAAAGAGAAAGGAACAAAACAAAACAAATTATTTGAATTGAATTGAATTGAAAAAAAAAGCAAAATTCAAATGCACAGGATCAATTGAAAGAAAAATGAAAAAAGATGAACATTTAACAAATATAAGCAACAGTGTGTAAAAATGAATTAAAATACAAAAATATATAAAATAATAACAGAAAATATTTCAAAACGAAACATAAGCACCGAAAAAAACATATGTCAGCCTGCATATCTAAACGTGAATGCATGCTTATTTTTGCTACAAAATTTAAAGAAAAATTAAAAAAAAATAAAATGCACACATACATTCACACCTTTATAGTTTATAGTAATAGTATGTGTTAATTTGCAGCCACCTGTGTACATATATACCGTGGATTTTGTTTCTCTATTTTCTTTCCTTCTTTTTTATTATTTTCAATACATATCAACGAACATTCAGAGGCTTCATGCAGGCGAGTATGTTGACATGAGTTGTGACAATGCTCAGGATGCATACTTTCGAAAATTGAAGGCACCAAGTCTTGCTGTCATTTTCTGGAAGCCTTACAAAGAAGAGAAGAAAATGTTTATTGGTTTAATAATTATTAAAAGGAAATTCTCTTCTTCTTAGTCACTGATGTTTTCTTCATCCAAATTGCAAAAAAAAATAAAATTGTCCGAAAATACGGTATACATTTTTAAATTATAAATAGTTACATCAATTGCATTTTTGAAATATTTAATAACATATTTTTAATTAATAATTTTCTTGTCCGAAAATGTGGTGCACACTTAAGAGATTGGATTGGTTTCTTTCGCGAAACATTAAATGATTGCCGAGAATATGTTATACATTTGTAATTGATGAAAGAGCTAGTAGCTTTAAAGTAAATGATCCCTAGTCCGGAAATATGTTGTACATTTATAGAATATATTTGCATATACACTTCCAAATTAAAAATAAATTATTAGGCTGAACTTCTTTATGAAGTTGTTAGCTTTGCCGAGCGAAACGGAAATAAAAATAAAAAATTTGATTATTGAAAATACGTTAGGTGTAAAAATCTGCAACATTCTGCTACCTTGCAATTCTGTTGCTACGAAAGACTATTCAAAGCTTACAATTATGCTTGCTAACTTCTAGTCGTTTGAATTTGGAACTGAATACATAGAATCTACTCTAATTTCGGCAAAGATAAGACGTTTCCTAATAACAGTGGATATCACTATAATATCGTAATGATGAGTGCTCCTCAGATGCTCTGATCTAGTTGTGATTGCGGTTTTAACAAATTGACAGACATATAGACAGATGCCAGGAATGGCAAATTGGTTCCATTGTTTATGGCGTTTAAAAGTGGTTTTTCGAAGCGTTCCAAGCTGTTCGCAACTCCCATACATACCCTGAGGTTGGGCACAAAAACGATAGAGAGACTAAAATAAAAGCTTTCTATAGAATGGTCCAAGGCAGATATTATGTTTTGATATTTGTGCATGCAAACAAATATACATGAAGGGGCTAGAAACAAAATAAAATAGTATTCCCATAGAGTTGCCTCTCGTCACAATGATATTTTCTGCGATATGTAAACCATATTTTCGAACAAGGTGCATAATATTTTTGCTTTATTAACCCATATCGGTCAAAGAAAGAGTTACACATGATACGAAATAGCGTGTAAGCCGCAATTGTACTTACTAATCGCATTAAAATATGAAAATTTCAAATATCAGATCATCTTAGAGATTTCTTTTTAGAATAGTATTATCATTCCCTCCGAAAGTCCTCTCTATTACTCATCGTTTATTATTAAAACGGAATTGTATTTTTATTCGGGTATCTTTGAAATGCTTGTTTGAGAGAAATTTTTTGGTGAAAGCTTACGGTACACGCTAGTCGCACTAGTAAATGGAGAAAATACCGGAACATTTGAAATGACAGATAAACAAACACATATAAGATGAATGAAATTAAGCATTTACCCATAAGCATTTACAACAAATAAACAGAAGGAAATGAATTAAATCCGATTAATTTAATCAGGAATTTTTGTGCAAATAAGTTAAGTGCACCAAAAGAGTGTACAAGCGTACTGATCTGTAGGTAATTTCTATGCACACATATGTATGCACACAAAACCATGCAAATATTTTCAAAAGAATTTAAAAAATTCTTTTGAATCATTACACATTCACACAATCTTCCGCTGGAAATAGCTTCAAAGCATATTTTTCATTAATTAGCAAACTGTGAATTTCGTTTATAAGATGCGCTAGAAAGTGAATAACGCTATCACCCCCTTAAAGGTATTTCATACTGGCCATTATCGAACATGTCGAAACACGCGTTACAAGCCCTAACGCGTACACGTTAGGTGCGACCGGTGGGCCGCTGAATGAAGTTAGTCATATTCCTTAGACACATTAGGTATTTGACGTATGCTTTTTGCGTTGTCGCTATGCGCTCGTGTGTATGAAAGACATCAGATATCTCGAGATTAACCTTTTACTATAGCTGGAGACTGTAAACGTGAAATAACTCATCACATTGTAATGATTTCTCAATCATCCGAGAAATGTTTTGTTTGTTATGCGTTAGTTGACTAGATACGGTAGTGTTTGGCGAAAGAGTTTTGTGATTGATATGCATGCGGTCCTTAATTGTACGCTTGAAAGTGAAGCGATCAATCGCCCTCGTTGATTATATTATGTATAATTTTTACACGATACCTGCTGTAGTTTATAAATTGTTGATAAACGATGTTTTTCTAGTTTTTTGACGGTGCTAGGCAGAGAAGAAACTTTTTTGTTTACCTATTTCGAAAGTTATAAATGAATGGACGTATAGATGGACATGGTTACTTGGCTACAAAATCAAACACTATTTCTAGACGTTACAAATATTGTAACGAATCTAGAATATCACTTAACTTCCCGCGGCTTTTGGAAGACTATGAGAATAAAATGATACTTATTTGCAAAAAGTTTAATTTATTTAAAAGAAAAAAAAAAAAACAATAATAAAACAAATTAAAGCATTTATTGTGTTTACAAAAATTCACGTAATATCCGCAAACCTATGTAATACGTATGCGGCTCTAAAACCAATCATAATCCCACATAAAAGCAGATGCACGCACTGATTACTTAAATTTTATGAATAATGAAATGTTGTATAAAAACTAACTTATGTGTAAAAATAACAAAACTATATATGTATACATATATATATTTTTTAACAACTACAACAATAACTAAATATGGATATCAATTTGAAGAAGACGAAAACAGAAATCTAAAAACCTAATAATAAGAGAAATAACATAAATCTACAAAAAAGTGAAATCAAAATAAAAAACAAAAAAAAACAAAAAAATAAAAAATAGAAACAAATTAAAAATAATCTAATGAAAACAATGAAGTTTTATTTTAAAATTTATAAAAGCATAAAAAAAAAAGAAGATAGCGAAAATGAAAATAAACTAAATTTAATCGGCTTAAGTTAAATTAAGGATAATCGGCTTTTTCTATTTCGGTTACTAGAGCAGTGCAAGGAAAGGAGAACATTTTTGCGTATAGAGAGAGATTTCATAAACTGTTCAACAAAATTTACATAAAAAAGAATTTCTAGAACTTATGAAATTGTAATAATTAAGTGACTACGTCCAACTTGCCGCAAAAGGAGTTTGGCCTGTTTAGCAATGGCGTTAACGTTAATGCATTAAAATTTCTCATTGGCTAGTGAGAATTGCATATATAACATAT